AGGATTCTTTTATTTAGCTTGAAGCATTCTTGTTAGACTGTGATTTAGAAAGGTAGTTTAATAAGACTAGACTAGCACTGATGTTCTGTGTGCTGCTGCTTCTTGTTTTCATGGAAAGGCTAAGTTTCTGAGACCCCCCCCCCCACATTCCAGATGTGGCCAGTAAGATTTTAGAGTGGATGTTGGTCTGAGTGTCAGGGATCATGAGTTCTGATATTTACTCTGGGACCGGTTTCCTTAGTTATAAATAAGGAAGGGCTAAATAATCCCCAAGGTCTCCTGAGCAGTTTGATTTTATGGGTCCTGGAGAATGGGGCTGTCTGTAGGAAGACTGGCTAGAGCCTCACACACTGTAGGGGACAAGAGAATGAACACAGCCGTGAGCAAACAGGAAAGGCCCATCTTGCCATTCTGTAGCCTTTCTTGGAAAGGCCCTTAGGTAGGTTTTTATTGCTGTTGTGGAAACTTCTAGGAGGGGGTAATATTGTTATGACAAGCCATAACTAAGACTTTATCAGTCATCACTTAGCTATATCAATTAACACTCAGCAAGAGCCAACTAGAAGTAAATTCAAAAGGTCTTTCATCCAACACATGAAGCATGGAAAAAATTGGGATAAGTGGCAAAGAGCTCCAGGTTTATGAAGGGCAGCGCTTGGCCCTGCCACAGAGCGTAGGGTGAAAGCAACATCACAGTGCGCTAAGCCTTATCTACATGTGCTTTGCTAAGACCATCACATGAACCTGTTCATAACCCCATATATTAGGCAGGAACTATAGTGTTCATTTTTTTAAGATATGAGAAAATTGGGTTAAGAAAAGGTAAGTATATGTTCTTTGAACACTTAGCAAACAAATGGGGAAGCCAATGCTTAAAGTGCAGGCTGTCAAACTTGAAACCTGTTTGCCCAGCCTTATACTGGCTCAGAGTCAGGGCTTGGATTCCTGGGAGCTTCGGCTCCTTCCTGAGGATGCTTCTGGCTGAGACTTCAGAACACACTTTCCAAAGGGCAAGCCATGTCCCTGTGAATGTGTTACTATTCAGTACATATTACCTACTGTCTCAGTGACACAAGCTGGGCTGGGTTATCATGGAGAAGTAGATTTTTAAAAGCATCAGTAGACATAGCACTGGTTTCCTAGGAAGCACAGATGTCTAACTAAGTAACAGGGGCTATGGAAAGGATCAAAGAACTTAAGCAATGAGCCATCCTTTTCTAAAAATGAACAGTTTATATACTAAAACATAAATAAAATATACATTTTCACAAAGAAAATCCACAAGGCCATCTAAAGATACCATTAGAATGTCTGTTCCAGAGTTCTTAAGCAAGATGATGATGGCCTGGTAGGGACAAGAAGCGCTTTCAATATACATGGAACTAGGGTAGTCACTGAGTAGAAAGAAAGGGAGGGCCTCCATTAGCAAAGGGGAGATTGTCTGTAAAGACCTATGGACTCTTACAAGACGGAAAATAATCAGAAGAGGAAGGGGCTGTGATTATAGAAGTGCGCTGAGACTCTGGAAGATCTGGAAGAGTCTGCCCACTAAACTAGGCTCTGGATTTCAGTGTGAAGGCAAGGAAACGACCCTGATGACTTTTGAGTAGAAGCATCCTGGTTTGGGGGAAAACAATAAGTCTTGTGGTGATGGTCAGAATCCCAGGAGACAAGTGGTACCCGTAGAGAAAGGAATAGCCTAGGAAATTATATTTATTTATGATTTAAAATCCTTCCAAAGGAATAGGGACAAAAATAGTAGGTACTATTTATCAGATTTCAGACACAGTATCAGATGTTAAATGATGAGTTCAGGACCACAACGATAGTCAGTGGCCTCCCAGGTTTTGATCACATATTTCATATGCCCTCTCATCTATGGAATTCTGCTTGTATCTTCATTTCCAGAACTCCTGGACAATAACATTACAAGCTAAGATGATGGCAATAATGGAAAAGCAGCAGCAACTAAGAGACATATCAGATACCCCGACTCTTTACTGATTCTTCATACATTTTAAGCTGAGGACTGAGAAAGGGGGGGGGACAAGAGTTTGTTTTCACTGAGAAGTAGCCCCAGGGTGGCCTGATCTTACTGCATGCAGAAGTCATATTCTGCTGGGCTATGAACTCTTTTGCTGTGCTCTATGACCAAGTACCACAGTATGGAGGGTGATCTACCTACCATGTAGTTTCCTGCTTCTCTCACGAACTGTGGCATAATCTTGATTGTGCTTATTTATACTAAGGTACCATAAGACAAGTTTAGAAGACAAATATAACCTTCGATGGAATTATCATGTGAATTCATGGCAATTACCATACAATTACATGCTCAGTAGCCTCTGTGGAATTCCAGAGTGTTGAGGTTCACATCCATGTGCAAAGGCTCAGGCTTCTGTGTAACATGAGGGCCTGCTTGTTGGGGTTTCTGTCCTGCCCAGTTCCCACAGCCAGTAAATCCCAAAGAAAACCAAACAGAACATCTACATTAGTTATAAACTGATTGGCCCATTAGCTCAGGCTTCGTATTAGCTCTTATAACTTATATTAACCCATTATTCTTATCTATGTTAGCCACATGGCTCAGTACCTTTTTCAGTGGGGCAGGTCACATCCTGCTTCTCCAGTGTCTGGGCAGGACTGTAGGAAGAGCTTCCTTCTTCCCAAAATACTCCTGTTCTCATTGTCTGGCCTCTACTTCCTATCTGGTTATCCCCCCTATACTTCCTGCCTGGCTACTGGCCAAACAGCGTTTATTTGAAACATAATTGACAGATACAGAATTGTTCCACACCACTTCTGGGCCTTCACTATGAGGGCGGGTGCATGGCACTGCCTGACATGATAGACTCTAGCCAGCGACTCAGCACTAAGCTTCTCTTAGTTGGCTCTTGTCACTGCAATATTTGCAACATAGAGGTTATAGACAGTAGCTATATACTGCACATTAAAAAAGAAAAAGTAACCTAAGAAAAAACTTTTGAAAGTTTTTACCACAAAGAAATGATAAATGTTTGAAGAGATAAAAATGCTTATCTGATTTAAATACTTGGATACATATGTATATCAAACATTACATGGTACTCCACTGATAGGTAAAATGTTTTTGTGTCTCTGTTAAAAATAAAAATGTGTCCTAGTATGTACAGATGGGACAATTCTAATAGCAATGCATGACTCAAGACACATTATCCTGCAAGGCCTAACATTTGTATAGACATGAACTCTGCCTACCTGTGGAAAAAGTAACCTTAACAATGGTGCTGACTGGGATCTTCACTTATAGGGTTTGATATAAATGTTGATGGAAAAGTCACATGGAAGGGGGACATATTACAAAAGATGACTGTAAAGTTTATACATATGGACTGTGATCAGCTCAACTCACACACTGCTTCCTAGACAGAACCTGAGGCCTGCCTACAGATCTCCAGATACCCCCATGTCAGTGTGTGTTTCAAGTCACTGCGGAAGTCCAAGCATCTGTAGGACCCTAAGACCCAGACTTGGGCCAAGAGTATTCTTCTCTCACGACTCTAAAGTTGGTCACGACTCTGTATGCAGGCCTCCACACTTCCAGACATCCCACAGAAACAGCTGATGGTCCAGGGCAAATATATAATGTTATGCATTCTGCAAAGCTGCTAATATCCAGTACTCTAATTTGTGCAGATTAAATTTTAAATGTTCTATGAAATATGTAAGTGAAGTTTTCTGGGCCTACTATAGCCAGTCTCTAATATGCATGCAAAATAAAGTGAAAGGCATGAAAAGCAGAAGGGTTACTTAGGAAGAGGAAAGTGATCACCAGGTGGAGAGGGGAACAAGAGGGAATAATAGATGACTATAATTGAAATCCATTGTGAACATGTATGAAAATGGCATAATGAAACCTGTTTGTTTGTATAGTTAATATCTACTAATAACTTTTTTAAACAGCAGCTTCCAAACTGAAAATGCAATTAGTTTCAAAATTGGCTACCTTAAGGAGTTTTTTGTTAACACTAAAGTGACTTATATCATAAAGTATAGTATGGGAAGGAGGAATATTACTTCTAGCACTATGAATAATATGTCATGTTGATAGTGTGTTTGTCAGCTTTGAGATAATATGACAGGGGTCTTATTTAGCTTAGAGTTTGGTGGACTAGCCCATTCATTTCTTTGGACCTCTGATGGGGGTGATGGATTGCAATAATAGAAAATGCATAGTGAAATAAAACCACTTACATTATGAGCCAAGAAGTAAAATAGAGACAAAAGCACCTAAATTCTGACAATCCCTTTTGAGGGCATGTCTTCAATGACTTAACGATCTTCCACAGAATCCTACCCCCTCATGATTTCACTATCCTTTAATATGTGACCTTTAGGAAATAGAACCCAAAGCACAATAGCATAGACCCTTAATATAAGGTGAGAAGGACTGCAATTCATATGTGTGGCCTTTCTCTCTCAAAAACACACTACTTCAATCCAATAATGAGAAAAACATCAGAAAAAAAAAACAATGGGAATTTAATGAACTAGCTAACCAGTACTCAAAATTGTCAAGTTCATCAAAAACATGGGAATCTGAAAACTAAGAAAGATCTGAGGAACATAAGGAAATAAGATGACTGAGTATAATATAACACTAAAAACAAGATGGGGCCTTGAAACAGGAAAGGGGAAAAGGAAAAAACTAATGAAATTCAAATAAAGTATGAACTTAGATAACAGTAATGTAGCAGCCGGGTTCCCTAGTTATGACAAGTGTTCCAAAGCAATGTACGGTAGTATCAACAGTGCAATGTTGTGGTGGAATAAGCACGTCTGTGCCATCTAGTCATTTTCTGCAAATCTGTAACTATAAAGTTAAATTTTGACGTGAAAATTTTTGGATTCTAACTCAGTTGTAACTTTTCTAGTCACCAGAAACCAGTCGCTATGCAGTGATGACTACCCAGCTGAAGCATGACAATCTCTCCCTAGTCTTCTATTATGTTTTTCTCCAGATGTGTAAGGCCCATGGCATTGGCTATGACCTTGAGGTATGAGGGGTTATAGTTCATTGGGGCTGGACCACTCAGGTATGTGCAGGATCTAGATGGCTGATAAACTGCTGCCCCTTCAAAGAGATGTTCTTTAAGATTAGGTAGGTATGTTCAGAGGAAGGTTAGGCATTGTACAGGACAGTACCTGAACAACAGAAGTTCCACAAGAATAGCCCTTAGTCCTGGACACTTCCCTTCCTCTCCAGATTTGCACAACCACATCATAAAGCAATAACCCTAGTTACCAGATTTGGGATTGCCTTGGAAGCATCTCTTGATCCTGCAGTGGGCATGTCCTGAGCCTCTAGAGCCTACCCACTACTAAGAAATCTCTTCTTGGTCTTCTCAGACAAATCGAACAGACAGCACTGACACGGTGGCTTAAGCAGCAAGAATTCATTTTCTTACAATTGGAGGGTAGAAGTCCAAGGTAGATTTGGCTCCTGGTAAGGGAACCACCATCTTCTTCTTGTGTCTCTAAGACACATACACACAGACACAGACACACACACACACATGCATACACCAGGGAATGTGATGTCTTTTATATAAAAACACTAATTCTAAAGGATCAATGCTCTACTCTTATGAGTTATTTAACTTAGTAACCTCCTTAAAGGCCCTGTTTCCAATATAATCACATAAGTGTTTTAGGGTTAAAAATATAAGGTAGGGAACAACAAAATGAAGTCGTTATCATTCTGCTGTTTACATGTGATGATTTCTTTCAGGAGAAAAGTGAAAATGCCAGAATGAACTAATTTACCTGAAATTGTTACATTCCTTGCACACAATCCCTTCAGAATTAAATAGTTTTTAGTTCCAAATTGATGGTACTGAAATAGTCCCATGTACCACAAAGTATGATCTACTTGCTTTATTTTTCTAAAGTATCAAAACAGAATAGTGTGAATCAGTATATTTAGCAGGGAAAGTCTCAAAAAAGACCAAAACAAAACATATGTTCTCATGTTATACTATCTAAAATGTGTTTGTTCTTGAGGTCAGGGCTTTACACTCACTTGACTGGAGTTATAATACTTTTGAGAAAAGTAAAGCCCAGAAATCAAGGAATTATTTTCACCTTTGTTTTTTGAGTGCTTGGATGCACTCCTTTTTCTTTCTGTTTTTCAATTTAGTCTCTGTAGAGACTGAAAGAAATTCCCAATGCTAAGTATATTGCAAGTTATCACAGCAGGTGTTGGGGAAAGTTTTTAATTAGCAATAACTGTGCCTAGGATAAACCTCATTGTCTATGATGCTGTAACTAGGAGCAGTATTGTAATAAGAGGGTTGTCTTGGTGCAGGAGGTAAACACATGGTGCAGAGGAAGCAGATCAGTGAAGGTCAGGGGTCTTGCTAGGGAAAGCTACAGAAAGAATGGATAGAGAGGCATCAAAGACAGTCATCACAGTTTACAGACTCATCTGCAGGTTTTCTCGTGTTCAATAACTTAGAAAGGATAAGAGATAAAAAGGTAAAGAAAAATACAGAGTAGGGGCAACAGAGTAATGGAATAACACAAAGAAGAAAGAATCAGAAGCAAAGGGAGGATAAAATCCAGAAATTAGAGGATTTTCTATTTGAAGAAAGCAGAAAGAATAACCAGAAGCAAAGCAAACAAATGTGTGTGTGTGTGTGTGTACACATCACATAAATCATGCACAAACATATATGGATCAGGGACAACACACACAACATGTGTACATGTTTGTATGTGTGTGTGTGAGAGAGAAAGAAAGAGACAGAGACAGAGAGACAGAGACAGGCTGAAGTGATAGTCATCTGACCATATTGGCATTTTACAAATTTCCCAGTTGTATTACTGCCTGACTTTTCCTGAAATGGGCTCTCATATTTCCTGACTATAAAAATTGATTTAGTAGTCTATCCCTAATGAGAACTTTGCACCACCACTCCTCCCCTTTCCCTTCCCTTTTTCTTCTTCTCCTCCCCATTTTCTCCCTCCTTATCTTCATCATCTTCTTCTGGTTTCCTGAGACAAGATCTTACCCTAAAGCTTAGACTGGTTTTAAATTCCTGACCCTCTTCCTGCCTCAACCGCTCAGTTCCTGGGATTGCAGGGGATCTTCATCCTCCTACTCTTCCTATCATTCTGGACATCTCTCAAGAAGGAAGATGATGGCCAGCATTTTAGAGCACTTGCTGTCTGTCAGCCACTGAGCTAAGCACTTTCAGTTCACCATCTCATTCATTCTTCATGCCTGTGCTGGGAGGAGGTGTTGTTTCTACCATATCACAATGCGCTTTCCCATGAGTGAATATTCCCAAGAATGTTATGGAGCTGGTATTCAAATACCATAATGATGGAGGAAGGTCATTGGTTAATTAATAAAGAAACTGCTTGGCCCTCATAGGTTAGAACATAGGTGGGTGGAGTAAACAGAGCAGAATGCTGGGAGGAAGAGAAAGTGAGCGCAGAGACGCCATGCTCCCCTCTCCTGGGCAGATGGGATGAAGCTCCGATCCAGGATGGACATAGGCTAGAATCTTCCCGGTAAGCGCACCTTGGGGTACTACACACTTTATTAGAAATGGGCTAGTCCAGGTGTGAGAGTTAGCCGAGAAGAGGCTAGATATAATGGGCCAAGCAGTGTTTAAAAGAATACAATTTGTGTGTTGTTATTTCGGGTAAAGCTAGCTGGTGGCAGGAGCTGGGTGGCAGAATGCAACCCGCAGCTCCTACTACACCATAACTGTACACAGCTTTCTCCCATATGTGTCTTTTGCTCTTAAGAACTGCTTCACTTAGCTGGGCGATGGTGGTGCACGCCTTTAATCCCAGCACTCGGGAGGCAGAGGCAGGCGGATCTCTTTGAGTTCGAGACCAGACTGGTCTACAGAGCTAGTTCCAGGACAGGCTCCAAAGCCACAGAGAAACCCTGTCTCGAAAAACCAAAAAAAATAAATAAATAAAAAATAAAAAAGAACTGCTTCACTTGAACCAAAATATGATTGCCAGCCTAATAAAAGAGTTCTGAGATCCATTTCAAAAGCATGCTCTGTCTCAGTGCCTCTTACTCAGCTGGAGAAGCAGCACCTTCTCTGCAACAACCCCTACTATCGCCGCTAGCTTACACAAGCGAGGCATGCATTTAAGATGGACTTCCCCAAACTGCCATTCTCTCTAATTATACTAAGACTAAAAAGAAAACCATTTACCTAAACCCAAGTGTAACCTCTTCTACCTGGTCTTACTTTTGGTTGAATTTAAAGTGGGTGCTTTTTCCAGGAAAAGCAAGCAACATAAACAATATATTATTGTTGATACTACCAAAGGAAGATTCCTCCAGTGTCCTCATTCAATTTGGTTTTCTTCCCATTATTATCACAGAATTTCAGTGTTTTCTTTTTCAAAATTGAGGGTGGGGAGTGTCGATTATCCTATGAGCTTATTTTTTTCTTTCTATTTTTTAAAAAAGATTTGACTGAAGTTTCTGTTCTGCCTGGTTCCCATGGACGTTAAGTCCCAAAGAAATGCACAGAGGCCTATATTAATTATAAACTGATTGGCCTAGTAGCTCAGGCTTCTTATTAACTATTTCTTACATCTTATAGCCCATTATTCTTGTCTGTGTTAGCCACGTGGCTTGGTACATTTTTCAGCGAGGCAGTTACATTTTGCTTGCTCTGTGTCTGGCTTCCTCTCTGTCTGGGTGACAGACTGCAAACTGAAACTTCCCTCTTCACGGAATTCTCATTGCCCTGCCTCTACTTCCTACCTGGTCGCCCTGCCTATATTTCCTGCCTGGCTATTGGCCAATTAGCGTTTATTTAAAATACAAGTGACAGGGTAGAGATCATTGTCTCACAGCATTATGTATACAGTGGTCTGCCTGTATGTATACCTGAAGGACAGAAGAGGGCACCAGATTTCAGTACAGATGGTTGTGAGCCACCACATGGTTGCTGGGAATTGAACTCAGGTCCTCTGGAAGAGCAGTCAATGCTCTTATAACCTCAGAGCTATCTCTCCAGCCCCAAGCTTAATTTTTCTTCATGCATATTAGAGATGCATTGCTGAGTTTTTAAGTAACTTGGTGGGTCTCATTCCTGGTATTTCTATAATGCCACAGAATGCCCCCACTAGTTTCTTAATGAAATGAAGCTGTAATGCAAGCCATATGAGGAAAGGCATCATGTTTACTCTTTGTAAGAGTGTGAAGGGGGCTAGCATCACTCATTCATAGGCAGTATGGCCCCACAACCAGCAACAATCATTTTCTCTGGCCTAGATATTACCATGGTGGGAAATATTAGCATTGTTTACATAAACTCTGGTTCTTCCCTCTTTGGGTACATAATAGAACTACACTTCCTCAGTGCTCTCCCAAAGTTGGGCATGACCATGTAAATTGTTTTGGCCAATGAGATATTAACAGAAGTGAGATATGTCCTATCTATGCAGAACATTTGAGTTTCCATATCCTCTTTCCTACCTTGGAAAAACATGGGAGTTCATTCCAAGAGTTCACTGTACCAGTCTGGTGTCTGAGGGTATCAACAGTGATTGAAGACACATGTCATCCACATGGAATAAGAACATAAGCAAGAACTGCTGCTTCTGTTGTTATAGACAACCAGCAACTGTCTTTTTCAAATACTGAAGCATAACCAGTCTACTTGGTTGGCATAGAAATTAGTATCCAAACAAAAGTGTTCCCAAACAAAACCTGCAAGTTGACTTGGTGACATGGAAGTGTTCATGGGAATAGGCCATCTCAAAAATCATATTGTGAAGTCATAAAATATTAGCAAAACTGGTACCTATAACAACTTAGAAGGCCTACTGTGTTCACAGCATTGGCGAAGCAGTTAGAAAACACAATGCTTTTTTTTTTTTTGTATGTTGATCAGTGTCAATTGCTTTGTCAAAGAATACAAAAACTGTGAGCCTCTAAATGTACCAGGCAATCTATATCAAAAGTGAAAATAAACGGATTCTAGAAATAAGGAACTTGAAAAAGCTGGAAAAA